CGATAATTGTCTATGTTCAGATTTTTTTTATTGATCTTGCGGTTGAATTTTTTCCATTAATTTCCTATGTTTTCATTCTGTTTGAGGTGTTTTGTTATCTAATTTGGGAGGTGTTTGGTAATTTAATTCTTTTTGTTTTTATTGGGGTGGTTTTGGATTAGAATTTATATCAGTGTTCTGATTTTGTTTGGAATCTGAATTATTTTGAACATTTTTCAGTCATGTGAAAGAGTATAATTGAGTTAATTCTCGAAGAGCGTAATCTTTTGAATAATAAGGTAGGAGGTTATTCCGTTGTTGAACAATTTCTTTTTTGATCGAATCTATAAGTTTGTATGTTACATCAGTGAGTTTATCAATTATTTGATCTGGTCCTTTTCGGAGTGGTTGTAATTTTTTGAAGATACCTTTTTGTGTTGTGAAATTTGGAATTAAAACGAGTGTTCCTACTTTTAAGTCTGTAGCTGGTGTAAATCGTAAATTGATTGGGGTATTTATATTTTGTAATTGTAACATCTTTTTTCGTTACTTTTTGATAAATTTCATTGTGTTTTTTGTCTCTGTTTATAATTCATATGTGTAACGGAAGCTAATTTTAAGATTTTTGTGTGATGAAAGTGGTCTTCATCGTGGTTATGTAGTGGCAGATTATAACATATTGAATCTTTATTTGGTTGACAATAGCCTTGTGTATTTTTTGAAGCGTTTGCTGTGAACATCATCGGTTTTCGTGGTTTTTGGTTCATACCTTCGACTAGTCCATTTGTCCGAGGTGCATGAGATGTACGTGGTTTATGCTTAATATTATATAGGTGGCATAGTGTGATAATTTCGTTGTTAATAAACTCAGTGCGATTGTCTGTAGCAAGGATTTCGGGTAATCCGAACTTTGCTATCCAGTGTTCGTAAAGTGTTGTATATGCATAATAAGCATTACAATGGTGTACCGGGTTAAGTGCTACGTAGTGTGTAAATGCGTCAACTATGACCATAATATATGAGTTGTAACTTGTGAATTATAAGATAAAAGGAATAGTTGGGGAAAACTATTACCATTATGCATGAGTTTCCTTCTGAAGATGGTGATATTGGCCCTTTTGTATCGAATGAAACTCTGTGATTGAAATATAGACTTTGACCTTTAAAATCTTGTTTTTCTGCAATTTGCTTTTAGTTTGGATAAGTATTGTTTAATTGGCATATTATGCAATCATTGCTTTATACTTTAATCCAAATTGGAGCATTTGGAAAGTAAAAATTTTGAATGAAATTTGAGTATGTTTTTTCTGATGCTGAGTGTCCTTTAGTGTGTAGGGTATGTGGAGTATGGAAAGCTATTAGCATCATACTTAGAGGTAGACAAGGTACTTTGAGGTCAGATGTTTGGTATTCTAAAATATCTGTATTTTCGTTGATAGAGATATTATTAAATTTTCTGAAATATCTAAGAAGTGTCTTGTTTCCAAGAATTGTGGTGCCGGCTTTTATTGGTAATGTTTTATATAAGTTTTTGTTGTCTAATGACTGGGTCAAAACGTTAATGTTTTTGTAACAATGCTAGTGCAACTTTTTTTATTTTGGTGTTGGTAGGAAAATGTTTTCAATTTCTATCTTCGATAGGGGTACTGTGTCAAGAGGGTCATGAAGGTTAAAAACTTGATTTATCGTGTGTTTTGAATCGTTATTCAATGAGCCTGATACGTTTATATGATCAGTTAGATTTTCTTTTTCTATTAAAGGGAAGAGATCTTTTCTTTATGGTTGTTGTCTAATTTGTTTGTGTCGGGTATTGTTTTTATTCCATGTTGAGTGTGGGATTGGTTCAAATGTAGATTTCCGTAGTAAATCAACATCATAATGGTTTCTTTGAATATCTAAAAATATTGTTGAAAATATTGTAAATTGTTTATTTGTGATTGATCTATGTCAGTTTTTACTGCATGTTTACAGTCTAATCGTGGTGAATTTTCATCTTTTCCAAGAAAGAATTTAATTTTTCGTGGTATTTTGACTGTTGTCTTTCTTGTTAGCAATTCGGGTAGTGTATTTCTACTAAAATTATCTGGTAATGCAAGATTTTTTCCTGCTGTCCATACTATGTGTAAGTTCGGAAATTTCATTAAAATTAATTGAAATCTGTAAAATCTATGGTTTGGATTCGATTTTTGTGTGAATGGGAATATAATTGGTTTGTGATCTGTAAATAAGACTGTTGGATGTTTTGATCCAAGTTTTAAAAATAAGTGTATATATTATGGCTGTGCAATCTCTCATAAGAGTAGAGAGTCTAAGTTCATTTGTGTGAATAGTCGAGATTTTGCTGAAATGAGATTCATTTTATTCGTTCCATAGTGAGATTGTAGTAATGCTGCACCGATGCCAAAATTTAAAGCGTCGCACATTGCATAAAATGGTTGATCGGGATCTGGAATTGTGTTAGAAATTTGTTCTGTGAGAAGTTTTTTGATTTCTTCAAATCGTGTTTGGTGTTCTGTTGTCCATTCAAAAATATTTTGTTGTCTAAGAATGTTGTAGAATGGTTTTAAGTATAATTGCACTTTATATACGTATTTACTTAAGAAGTTTAACATTCCGAAAAAATCTTGGATTTTCTTTTTGTTAAAGGGTGGTTGAGTTTTTGGATTGCATCTATAAGAGATTTTAATGGGGTTATGGTTTTTCTTTCTATAATGTGTGCAAGAAACTTTACACGTGTTAGAAAAAAAATGTGATTTATCTGGGGCTGCTTTCATGTTTTCGTGTAGTAATATCTGATGATATTTTTCTAAAACTGTGAACGTTTCTTCCTTGGTTTGTGATTGCATGAAAACATCGTCTAAATATATAATTGCGTTTTCCTTGAGTATGAGTGGTCTGAAAATTTTACTCATAAACGCTGAGAATGCTGCTGGTCCTATGGATATGCCATAGAACAATCTATTGAAATCATATTGTTGATTTGGGATAACAAGTTGTGTCAATCGTCGTGATTGTTCATCTAACGGCATTTGATTATATGCACTAATCAAATCTGCTGTTGTAAAATATATACGGTTTATTTTGGTTAGGATTACTTGAATTGGTTCAATGGGCCTTTTTTATGTAGACTCATCAATGAGTGAATTGAGATATCTAGCAACTAGAACTATTTTAATGATTCCCCCTTAGCTAGAATGATAACGGGGTTTATAAACGCGTTTCCGTTTGGCTGTTCTTTTTTTTTTACTGGAGAAATAATTTCATATTGTTCTAGTATGTCTAATAGTCTATTAATTTTGTCGTGTAAGTGAGTTGGTACTTTAATAGCTCTTTGTTTTTTGAAAATTGCATCAGGTTTTAAGGGCAGATGTAGTGCTGAATTTACTTTTCCAACGTCAAATTTAGATTTTGCATAAACTTTTGGGTAATTTTATAGTAAATCGGCTGATTGCTCAAATTCGTTTTGTGTTATCTGAGAGTGTTAAAAATTGAATATTGTCCAGAATTTTTGTTGTTCTTCTGGGTATTCTGCTATTTTAAATGTTGGTTTAAAATAAGGTAATTTTATGAAATAATCCGTGTTTCGTTTTTCATTGGTTATTATATTATTTATCAATAATTCTTCGTCAAGAATTGTTGACTGACATATATCTAATAATTGTAAAATATTATTTACTCTATACGCTACTTCTTAGTGGGAGAAGTTGCCGCGTTTGTTTCAGAATAACATAAAAGTCCTAGAGGTAGAGTTATTTTATATGATGAATTGTTATAAACAAGTAAGGAAATGATGTCTGAATTTGAGTTTTTCATGTACTTAATAGATGAAACTGTTAATCGAAAAAATTTATGAATTGGTGGTCTGAATTCAAGGTCAGACATATAGAGATGTTGTCTGTTTTGACTTTTGTCATATTGATGAATTTGTTTGATATTGTAAAAAGTTTGTTATTGTAAAAAGCCAGAGCTAAAAAGCTTCAAAGATTCTATGTCAGTAACTGAAAATCTAAATTTACTGCTAGTAAAATTTTAAATATTAAAGTTTCAGTTGGCTTTTGCCGTACGGGCATGAAATCTATTGGTAGATTTCGTTCTAGTCGTATGTCCTCTCTTGTCCGAGGTCTTCTTCCAATACCGGGTAGTTCTCGTATTGTTCGGAAAAATGGCTTTGATCATCTATTGAGTCGTAGAGACGTTTCTACTAAGTTTTCGTCATATAACAATTTTTTGAATTTGTTATATTTGTCTAATTCTAGTCTAATGTTTTGGTTTGTTCTAATCTAAGTTGTTTAAGGTCTTGTTCGTGACTTTTGGTCGCACCAGATGAGTTATGACTTAAATGGTTATACTCATAGAGTAACTTCAGATAGGGTACACCGTCTGCTCGTCACGCTATCTTATTTTCGGCCGGATAGATTCGTGCAACTTCTTAGTCTAATACCGATCTTAATCTTACTCTTATATCTCCTAGTCTCAATAGATCTGGAGTATACTGGTTTGTTACGAGTCGGTCTCTTGGAGAAAGCAACTAAGTTCTAAGTTAAATTCAAATCTCTCTGGTGCTGAAATTACAAGTAATTTCAGCACTTACCAATAAGTGGGTTGTTAGTTTGATGGAGTATGATTGGTTAGTATTCATTATTTTATAGGGATAAAACATAAGAATAATGACCAATAATAAAATCTAGTTTAGATCTGGTTCCATTATCCATTAATCAGTGCTTCACTTAAGTTTTAAAAATTCATCGCTTTTTAGGTCCTGATCAGAGGCCCTCATCCATGATCAGTACATTAGCAGCTCTGATTCATGGTATAGTGCTGAATCAGGTATGTCTACCCCTCCGAGGTCAACCAGGGGTTGCTCGGGTTCAAAACAATAAAATTGAAAGGGCTTTAATGTGATATTATCAATCAACCCATGTTTTTTGTGTTATCTAGTTGTAGTTAAAAAACGCAACCCGTGCCATAGTTTGCCTTTAGTTCCGACAATCGCATATTGGACCCAGCAATTTAATACGCACCTTTCTAACTGAACTAATTCAATAGATTCCAAGTTTGAAGATCCGCCATCATTATCCAGATATCTTCGCCCGTTTTCTCTAGTCTGTAGCTGCAACCATACGCTGTCGAAGTAGGCCCAAAGAAGAAGCGTGACACTGACAATGGAGAGAAACCACCAGATAAAAATCCAAAATTTCTGCCCGCAAGACGCCATGGCTCAGATAATTTAATTCGAATCGTTTTATTAGGAGTTTAGAAACGAGACTACGGGTTTATTTGATCGCAAATGTTGCTTATTAACAATTTTGTATAAAAAAATTTTTTTTTTTAATGAAACAACGATTAGGAAAGCAAATTATAATTAACTTAAATTGAGATAACTTTGACAAAGGCGACTGTCAAATACAGTTTTCCATTTTCATAAAAAATGTTACTTTCCGACAAACATAAGAAAAATGGCTACAGTAAATCAAGATATTTTGCAGCTTTGAACTGTTCGGCAAAGCAAAATCAGAAAGAAAAATTTGCAAATGATAAAATTGATAGTTTGTAGATTTGATATTTAGGACAAATATTCGATTGGGAAGGTTAAAGAGTGTGACATTTATTTAGTAGTTCTGTAAATATTTGCTCAGATATTTGTACAAAATTGTTTCATTCCGAGCTGAGTTCGGAGTTCGTGTTTTCATTTTGAGACCATGGGGGCCAAATTTTCAAACCGCGTGAGCCGAAGAAATGTCTGAATCATTTTTGCAGCCGCGGGGGTCAAAAAACATTTGATCACGACGTGGCTATTGCAGAGATCCGTGCAGGTCATTGGGATCAAAAAGCCCATTTGGACAGCTTGTTGTATAGTTATTTGAGACTGTGTCGACCCCGGCAGGACTGTTTAGAACCACGGGGACCCGAAATTCCCGTTCAGAACGTGAGTGGGGGGGGGGGGGGGTTGTGGTAGCTAAAACATACCTTGAGATACCGCATTGTGAAACTAAATATCTACACAATTTTTATAGTTTTTCAACCTGTAAAAAATTGACTGTATGGTAATAGGGGTTTTATATATTTTCAGAAAAATCAATTAGTTAGTCTAGAAATGGACTTTTTTGCGGTATAAACTCTGTCTAGAATCTGTAGAAAACCTGCAAATCTTTATAGAATAAGTATAAAATCGATCATACTCGATTGCAATGCAATTTCTAGGGACCCAAAAAACTATGGTTTATGAAAACTTGAATGAAAATTGAATACAAAACTAACGATAAAAATCATGAACACAATCAAAATGAATCAAAACTTAGAACCCGAAAAAAGCATTTAATAAAATTTCATGTAACAAACTAGTAAGAAAATTTTAAGCACAAAAAATGAAAAAAATCAAAAAGTCATCAAATCAATAAGATTTTGAACGCAAAAATGTACAAATCTCGAAAACAATTAATCAAATTAGGTTTCGCTCCGCAAGGTCAAACCATGAAAAAATCAACAAGGGCACTAAAAATCAATTTTTGGGCATAACAATTTGCAAAAAATCAACAAAATCATCAATAAAAACAGATTTTGAACACAAAAAATTGAATAGCGACACAACAAATCAGGTTGTCTGCTAGGTATAATGACTTCAATTAGACGTCAACGTTGTGATGCAGGATGTGAAGATTTAGAAAAAAGGTCGAGCAACTCAATCAACCTAAAAAAATTTGGTTTCGTACAACACAGGAATATTTTTTTGATATAGCACGGTTTGTTCAGCTACCGTTCTGAATCACTCATTTAGTCACAGAAAAGAAAAATTAAAGTCACTCAATGTCAATTCTACTGAACTGGGGAACCGAAACACACAAATTTTGAATAAGGAATCCTTGCTTTTTGCCAAAAACTAGATTCAAATTTGAAACTGATCGAGGCAAAAATATTTTTATTGCAATTTCAAACCAATGATTTGTCTATGATAATTTATTTTGACCTGAAGAATTTTGAAAAGCTAAAAAAAATTGGTTGCTGCTGGGTTTTTTTTAAAATCGGATAAAAACCTTTTTTCATTTCCAACAACTAAACCCTCTCCCCCCAGCACAATCAAGATATAGCAATGCAAAAAGACTTTGGCTCTATTCTGTTTTTTCCAGAAAAAGAATTTAAACGGTATTAAAATGAAAATATTCATGAAAAATTTTGAACAGACATAAAATGCACTATATAGTGTATATAATAAAACCAGGGGTGGATCTAGGATTTTCTCGAGGGGGCGGATTTTCAAAAAATTTTCGAAAATTGAATTTACGAGCTCTCCTAAAGCACTAAAAATCCCTTTTTTGCCTAAATTTTTTGCCTAAATTTTTGAAAAAACAGGTCAAAAAGCCGTTTTTAAGCACTTTTTGGAAAATTTTGACAAAAAAAATGCGTTTTCTTGGCGCGCGCTCCCCCTCAAAGTTAGTATATATTGGCGCCAAAGGCGCCTTTAGAAAAATTTTAGGGTCGGTCGACAAAAAATGGATTTCTTAAAAAGTACCAAAGGGGACCCTTTGGGTCGGCAGGGGGTCGAATCCCTGAGGGAAGGCGTCCGCCCCCCCCTGAATCCGCCCCCGAGTTCAAAAAGTGTATTTTATCTTTATTTTACCTCTACCAAAAATTGCTTTTAAAAATGATTTTTGGTGGCTATCGAACCATTTATAGTTAGTATAAATTGGAATTGGTTGTAATTGTTTAAATAATCAATAAATTTTTACACTTAGTGGAACCAGTTCAAAACAAGTATTTATTATATCCTATTATATCCTATTGTATCCTTGATAACTGTCTCTGTAAAATACTTAGAAATAACCAATCATGATCCATGACTAAAACTTACAATAATTTTATCTGCAATTATATCTGCAGTTTTATCTGCAATAAATCGAACTAACTTAAAGTTCACAGGTTGATTTAGAATTCTTGCATTTAAAATGATTGAGTTCAAGATTGTTTTTGGAAAATGTTGGCAAGTTATAAACTAAAATAAAGTTGCTTGTACAATCAAAAAATACCTGAAATAGATTCTCGAATTCAACTTCGTTTCTTTGAGAAAATTTGAAATTTTGAAATTTAATTCATATTCATTTGCAAAAGGAAAAGCCAAATATGCCATAACAAAAGTATGAAGGTATCAAAAATGTGAATGATTTCTCAATTTAAAGTGCATTAGTTTCTAAACTATTATTCATCTTTATAAATGAAAGCATCTCTGAGCACAACTTCAGTTGTGAATGATCTTCAAGTTTTGAGCATAAGCCCACTTGTACTTGTCACAAAAGTTTCATTTGTCAAATTTGGCAGCAAAAGATATTAAAAAAACATATTGACTAAGTTTTCTCTGACTTACTTTTATGGACAACAAAAATCATTCAAAATTACTAAGAGTAAATGAGCTTTAACTTGATTACACCAGCAAATTTATGAAGGTAATGTGATACAAGATTTACATTTGTTTCCAATCTTACTATCATTAATTCGCTTGGCAAACACAAATGTTATTCAAGGAACGTTTTTGAAACTTAAATTTTTTATTACGGTGTTATTTTTTGGGACCTTCACTTCACAGTAAGGATGGAAAATTTGTGGACTCTTTTTGGTTTCTTTTTTTTCCAGACACATTTCGACTATTCGACAAGCCATTTTTGACTAGACGAACGCCATTTTTTGAGCCATCTCCAAAAATGAAGCCTTGATCTCAAACCAAAATACAAATATAGTTGTTTTCTAATCAGATTGCGTTTGTTTTTGTGCTGTGAAAGTTGTCGTATTGGATATGTTCTGGCCTAATTTATGAAAAATTTGAAAATTTGTCTATGCTAATGCTACAAGCGCTGTAAAATCATTACCTTTAAGCGCGGCAATTGATTCCTTACTGACACTTTGTTACAAATTCATTCCGTTTATATTGATTGCTTTGCAAGCTTCAGATTAAAATTATCAGTTTCATGATAGCGAACTAAATATTTTTTTTTGCTTTGAAGTGTAGTCAGAAAATTCAGGGCTTTGCCCTGATATACGAACAGTCCTATTTAACTTTAATGTCATATTTCTGGGCTATTAGGAAGGAGAATAACGCTTTACAAAATCCAAATGGAAAGAGGCTTAAAAAACGTAATTCCAAAAATTTGCAGAAAACCAAAAAATCGAGTAATACCGTTTTTCGTCGAGTAAAAAATCGAGAAAAAAGTTCGAAAAATTTTATTAACTTGATAATTCTTAAAAGGCAGTCAGTCAATGATGCAAAATAAATTGATCATCTGTTTTGAAGTTTAGTTTACCATAAAAATTTTCAACCAGAAAAAAATGCAAAATCAAAAAGCATTGGGACAAAATGAAAATGCACCAAGAAAACACACTTTGTGTCGTCGGTTGTGTTGCATTCGTTGAAATTTATCCGAGCCGAGGTTGACTTTTTTCGAACATTCTTTTAAAATGTTTTGATTGAATGTGATATGAAACTGCAACTTCTTCACACTGCAACAAGTTTTTTTTATTTCCGTGGTGAGTTGCTTGAATGAAACAAAAAACTGAAATTCTGATGAGGCTGCTGTATATTAAGTCAATTAGCTTTGTGTTTTTTTCAAACAGAACTGCTACAAACAAAAAACATTGAAATTAGTTGAATATTGAACTTTAAAAAAGTCAATAAAAATTTTCATTCAATTTTATTTGCTAAAAGCAATACTAATTATGCTTTCCAATAACATAAACATGAAGTTTGTTAAAAATGAATTTTCCTTAAGTACGACGCTAACGAAAGTTCAGCGGTAAAAAAGTAGTACATGTTGATCCAGTTTTTTGTTCCAACCGTTGAAATTTTATTTTGTTTCATTTTTTTCAGGTGTGTTTTATTTCACGTGTGTTTTATTTTTTTTTCAGGTGTGTTTTATTTCACGCAAAGTCATCTATCACAAAAAGTCATAGCAAATATATAAGATTTTAACGCAACTGATAACGCCTGAAGTTCAACGTATCAGTTTACTAAATAGTACAAGTCCTTCTAAACAATTTTCAGTAGTTGTTAATTCGATAGTCTTGTTTTTTGAAATCTGTGTAACGATTTAAAAAATAACAGAACCACTAGAGACTCTTAAACAACTTTCAGAGATTGATGGAACAGATACTTTAAATATTTTTCTAAACCATATAAGCGACACCT